TCTCCAACTCAGCATGCCGTATCGAAGCGTCCCGAATGACACAAAACTTCCTAGATCTGTATAGCGAATGGACGACGAGATGGAATGTTGCTATAAACGGAAGCAAGTCCCAGCATTGCAACTTCTCGCTAAGAAGTAAAATCCTTCCCAGGGTCAATTTCCAGGACACAGTCATCCCGGAATCCCCCCAGGCCCAGTATTTGGGATTGATCTTGGACAAGCGTCTTACGTGGAGGCAGCACATAACCAAATTCGCAGCCACTTGTCGTGCCAAGCTTCGAAAGCTGAACTGGATGCTTAGAGGAAGAAGTACGCTCAGCCTCAGTAACAAGATGTTGCTGTTCACGTCTATCGTTGTCCCATCGCTCACCTACTGCATTCAAATATGGGGCACTGCTTCGGATTCCAACATCCTGAGGATACAAAGAATGTAAAACAAAGCTCTGCGCACGATAGCAAATGCACCGTGGTACGTGCGAAATGAGGTCCTAGCCAGTGACCTGCACATTCCTTCAGTGAGAGAGCAAATCAACTTGCACTCAAGCCGCTACAACGACCGACTACTAGCCCACTCCAATCAATTAGCTGCATCCTTGGCAAACCCAACCACAAGAAGAAGGCTGAAGCGTCGACACCCTGGTGATCTCTGGACAAGAGGACGCCATCAAACCCGCGTCCTGAGACAGTAATGTGGAACTGTCAATGTTATAAAATTGTTGTTTCCACACTCATGTTATGTTTCCAGTTATTTGTTTCTATGTTCTAAATTACGCGTTTTATAACCATTAAGTTGGTTGATCAACGCCATAAATAAAAATATGCTATATAAAAAAAAAAAACGTTCGTCATCTTACCCTACACTCCCTTACTAAAAAATTACACAATTTTCCTGAAAAATAGGTATTTATTTTCTAGAATCAAAGGCGATTTCACCATTAACTCAAGAAAAAAGTCCGGAAAATATCTCCATTAATCCAAGAAAAAATTCAACAACTCATCTTCTTATTCATTTTTTATTATTTATTCTTTATTATTTTTCTATATTCAAGAAACATTTTGTTAATTCAATGGCGTTTTAAAATCACAAGCGATTTTCTAAAATTAAGGGAGATTTTTTTTCTGAGTGTATAGGCGAAGTGGCAAATTATTCCTATGGGAGCCTTAAGATATAGTGGTCCGATCCGGCTCGCTCCGACATATGTACTGCCTGCAATAGATAGAAAACTTTCGGGAAAGTTTCATCGCGATAGCTTTAAAACTGAGAGACTAGTTCGCATAGAAACGGACAGACGGACATGGCTAGATAGACTCGGCTATTGGTGCTGATCAAGAATATATATACTATATGTGGTCGACAACGTCTTCTTCACAGCGTTGCAAACATCTGACTGAAATTATAATACCCTCTGCAGGGGTATAAAAAGGACTCATTTAACACAATCAAATGGTTTCAGGCCTTGACAAAACTTTTGTTGACCTGAGTTATTGCTCACTTTAAGATTTTGTTTTTGAATTGTCACAAATCAAAATGTCTTCTTCAAAACGAAACAAATTATAATATTTATAGCATTGCAGAGATTCGGAAGTTTGCAACGCAGTGAAAGGGACGTTTTCGGCCGTATAAAGTATTTATATTCTTGATCAGCATGACCAGACGAGTCGATCTAGCCATGTCCGTCTGTCCGTGTAAAACTGAGATCTCAGCAACTATAAAGTTGATGAGATGTGTGTAGCAGTCTGCTGTTCTACAGTGTCCGTGAGAGGCAGCGGATGAGCAGAGCAATTCCCTATGCTCACTTAATAGGACGCTGCAGACCGCTGATTTATACCCATTACTGGCAGAGTATAAGGGTACGTAGGCTGCTATATATATTTCTGGCCTAGGCCATACTAAGTTTTGCCTGGCGCCAACTGACGTTTTCATTGCGAAGTTTGACATGTTTAAGAAGAAACGTGCTCAGAACGTTTTGACGTACGGCCATAATTTGTGTTGCTTACAGTGACTTGAAAAAATCAATTTGGCAGAAAATGGAACTAACTCGTGAACATTTTCGCGCAATCATTTTTCACTGCTTTCGACGTGAATTAACACGACAAGAGTGCATCGATGAACTTAAATCTTTGTATGGCGATGAAGCACCATCTTATAGCACTGTGAAAAACTGGTATAATGAATTCAATCGTGGCCGACGCTCTCTCGCAGACGAAGGTCGTGAAGATCGTCCAAAAACAGTCGTTGTTCCAGAGAACATTGACGCCGTGCATGAACTGATAATGCAAGATCGTCATGTGACATACCGTGAGATAGAGGCATCCTTGGGCATTTCTTCCACCAGCATACATTCAATATTGCATGAAGACTTGGTCGTAAAAAAAATTTGTTCTCGTTGGATCCCGCACAATTTGACAATCGCTCAAAAAAAGACTCGTGTGGATTGGTGCAAAAAAAATTTAAAAAAATACAATCGCGGTGTTTCAAAAGACGTTTATAAGATCGTCACAGGTGACGAATCATGGATCTATGCTTATGAGCCCGAAACAAAACAGCAATCGACCGTGTGGGTCTTCGAAGACGACCCAAATCCAACGAAAGTTGTTCGTGGAAGAAGCACTTCGAAGCAAATGGTGGCCTGTTTCTTCGGTAAAACAGGTCATGTGGCGACTGTTCCGCTTGAGCAACGTAGGACGGTCAATTCTGAGTGGTACACCACAATTTGTTTGCCTGAAATCTTCAGAGAAATTCGAAAAACGAACAAGAGAAGACGGATAATTCTGCACCATGACAATGCGAGCTCTCACACATCAGCCCAAACCAGCGCCTTTTTGACCGGCCAAAATGTCGAATTGATGGGTCATCCGCCATACAGCCCTGACTTGGCACCCAATGACTTCTTTTTATTCCCGCACATCAAGAGAAAAATGCGTGGTCAACGATTTTCGACGCCAGAAGATGCTGTTGAAGCGTTCAAAAACCATGTTTTGGAGGTGTCTCAATCGGAGTGGACAAAGTGCTTCGACAATTGGTTTGAGCGCATGCAAAAGTGTATAAGTCTTGCTGGAGAATACTTTGAAAAACAATAAAACCATTTTTAATCGTAAATATTCGCATTTTCATTCTCAGGCCAGAAATATATATAGCAGCCTACGTACATTGTATTCGGGGAAATGTCCGTCTGTCTGTCCGTGTAAACGCTGGGGTCTCAGAAGCCACTTCCCATTCAGCGCAAGTTTATCATGTCGATGTGGCACGCCCACAAACCGCGAAAATCTGTATCGCCGACATCTTTGAAGCATACTGCATCCGCAGTTGTACCACTGCCTTTCGCGTTAATTATTCTTTTAAAGTTGGTCAGCTGAGTAACCGGAATATAATAGTCGAGGCACTCGACTATAGCGGTTTCCCTTGTTTACTATATAAATACTAAGTTAACCACAATTAATGGTTTGGGCCCACTATACCCTTTTTTACAGTAGCCTAATTTTTTTATAGTAAACACTACGTTTACGTAGGAATAACTATTTGATTGGTACTCGTTACTCGTAGAATAAAATAATAAAATTATATTATTATTTCGCTTAAAAATATCACTCAAAGTGCGATTGCAGCCATTCTGTACGGAATTTTACAAAGTTTTAAATTTGTGCTAATAGGTAGAACCATGGAGCACACATCGAGTTAATAAAAAAATGTGATTTCTTTGTAAAAATTTTTTAAAACGCGGTTTTTAGTTGACAAGAGGTATTCATAAATACCAAAAGTTCTATCAACCTTAGGACTTTATGTCATTTATATATTAGTAAAACGATTTATCAAGATGTTATAAACTATTCCACTTAGATCCAACCAACGACATGTGGGTTGGTTGCTAGTGTGTTGGTCCCCCGTGCTGTAACCACGAGTTGGATTCCCACAGAAAGTGTTTTTTTATACAAAAAGTTTTTTTTTAAGCGGTTTATGGTTTTGTGGTTCTACCTACAAGAGCACATTTAAATCTTTGTAAAATTCCGCGTAGGACGGCTGCAATCTAACTTTGAGTGATATTTCTAAGCAAAAAAATATCGCTCACAAAATAATCATTATTTCTAAGAGATATTTTTTTGCTTACAAAATAATAATTAATTGGAGATTTTTATTTTTCACTCAAAAACAAAAAAGGAAGCTAGCTTCGGCAAGCCGAAGCTTATATACCCTTGCAGATCATTCTATTAATTTACAAATCGCAAAAATGTTAAAATTCCTATTATTTCAAATTAATTTTTCAATCGTTTCTATGGGAGCTATATGATATAGTAGTTCGATCTTTTTAAAATTAAAATCGAAATTCGGAAATATTTAAAAATAATCATATCCCAGAGTAGAAGAGAATGTAATAAAAATCAACAAAGATATAATTTTTTTCCGATTAATTTACATTTAATTTTTCGACCGTTCCTATGGCAGCTATATGATATAGTCATCCGATTTTGTTAATAATTAATATTTAATTCGAAATTCAGAAACATATAAAAAATGATATTCCCAAGAGTAGAAGAAAATATTCGAGAAAACACCGAAGCTAGAATTTTTGTAACGTTTCCTTCCTATGGGAACTATAAGATATAGTTGTCCGATCCGGTCGGTTCCGACATATATACTACCTGCAATAGATAGAAGACTTTTGGGAAAGTTTCATCCCGATAGCTCAAAAACTGAGAGACTAGTTTGCGTACAAACAGACAGTCGGACAGACGGTCAGACGGACGGACAGACGGACGTGTCTAGATCGACTCGTCTAGTGATGCTGATCAAGAATATATAACTTCATGGGGTCGGAAACGTCTCCTTCACTGCGTTTCAAACTTCTGACTGAAATCATAAAAGCCTATGCAAGGGTATAAAATAATCATTATTTTCGGTCCCTGATTTTTTTGTGTGTTCTAAATTAATTATTTAGCATTTGTTATTTATCAGATATTCCTTTTTTAAAAATGGTTTTTTATTTCTTTCACACTTCTTGTAGGCGGATGGAGAATATGACAAGGAACAATTAAGAAGTATGTGAAATTTTCAAACACTATACTAAACTTTTTAAACGTTTTATTAGTTCTTAGGAATGCGTTTAAAGCTTTCGACCACGACGGTGCAGGATGGATCGAACATGCAGATGTGTCCAGCATTCTTGAAATATTGGGTCAAAAATTGGAACCGCCAGCGGTTAAAGCACTTATTAAAGAAGTCGATAAAGGGACAACTGGTAAATTAGATTTCAGCCAGTTCTGTAAACTTGCTGCACGCTTTATTGAAGTTGAGGAAGATGTAGGAGCACTTCAAAACGAGTTAAAGGAAGCCTTTCGTGTATATGATAAAGAAGGAAAAGGCTATTTAACAGTTGCTACTTTGAGGGGTATTCTTCACGAATTAGACGATAAACTATCGAACCAAGACTTAGATATGATCATAGAGGAAATTGATGCGGATGGCTCCGGTACGGTTGATTTTGACGGTAAGTAGTTGAACAGTTAAATCTAAAACGAAAAGTAATTAAATTTTTTTTCAGAATTTATGCAAGTTATGACAGGTAATATTTGTAACCGTAAAACAATAATTGTTCTATGTCTAAGAATATTTGGCGTCATAAGCCGTTATAAGAGACATCTATGAAATAACTTTCAATTTCAATGTTGTCAAGAGATAAATTTGTGTGCCCTCGAAGAGCAAAATGTATTTTTGCGAAAAATGGGACTAGAACTATAAATGTTCCGTACAGCGCTCTACCTGTGCTATAACTTTCTTACGGTGCCAACATTTGTAAACTCCGTACTCGTAGAGTAAATGGGTATATTGTTTTCGAGGAAAAATATGTAACAGAACGACGGTAGAACACAGCGTTTCTGACCCTTTAAAGATTATATATTTTTTTGGCGATCAAATCAACCGACAAAAAATTTGAACATGTTATAATTTTGAATTGTGTATTTGATCTTTAAGGGCCGGTTTCTCGAGTGCCGGCTAACATTTCTCGAACAGATAAAGTCCCTGCTAAGGCATTTTGGCTTTCTCGAGCATAAATGTGAGAGCTAACTTTGACAGGGACTCGGAGTCCCTGTTAAGCGTTTTCGGCTCGATAGAATGACAGCTGATTTCCTAAAGCCAACTATGAAGAAGAAACGAAATCACAGTTGACTTTTCCTTTGAATTATACCCGAACAGCTGATGAAATAATCGAAGCATGCCATTTTTTGCCCTTTACAGTGCGTTAACAGCCTTCTGTAATTGTTTCTCGTTCAGATAAATTAAAGCAGTCGAGAAAGCGGATTTGCTTTTACGAACAGTTTATCTGGTCTTTAACTTTTTCGAACAGATAGCTATCAGGGACTTTGACAGGGACTCGAGAAAGCGGCCCTAAAAGTAATAAAAAACAACAGTTTGACACTCCGTAGAGTATTTTTTTTTAAATTTATTTTTCTTTGGTTACTTTTTGGGAATTTCCGGCATTTTTCACACAAAATTGGTAATTATACCCGTTACTCGTAGAGTAAAAGTATGTAACAGGGAGAAGGAAGCGTTTCCGACCCCATAAAGTATATATGTATATTCATGATGAGGATCACTAGCCGAGTTGATCTAGCCATGTCCGTCTGTCCGTAAGTCTATCTGTTTGCCCGTTTATACAGAATGCCACCCTTCAGTTCCAGAAATCTGTTTTCACTCATTCATTTACCAGGTGAATCACTCGTGGCATGTCATTCGGCACTCGTGACCCACGAGTGACTTTCCATAGAGACATTTGTTCGAGATGTCCTACCCCGTACCATAGTGACAGCTCAAATGACAATTTCTTCGAAGTCACCGGTGATACCACCAATGCCTTATACGACTTTTTCATATGAGACGTCATCACCCTGTGACATGTCACGCATGATTACGTGTGACTTTTTCCAAAATGTCAATAGCAACTTCGTTACAAAAAAAAACATACAAATTTATATTTTCGATTCATTTATTTCGCTTTATTTTATTTATTTCATTATACCCTTGTAGAGGGTATTATAATTTCAGTCAGGTGTTTGCAACGCAGTGAAGGAGACGTTTCCGACCACATAAAGTATATATATTCTTGATCAGCACCGATAGCCGAGTCTATCTAGCCATGTCCGTCTGTCCGTCTGTCAGTCTGTCAGTCTGTCCGTCTGTCCGTTTCTATGCGAACTAGTCTCTCACTTTTTAAGCTATCGCGATGAAACTTTCCCAAAAGTCTTCTTTCTATTGCAGGTAGTGCATATGTCGGAGCGAGCCGGATCGGACCACTATATCTTAAGGCTCCCATAGGAATATTCATACAAATATAAGAAAATTCATTGTAAATTTGTAGAAAGTAGGCGTTTTGATTCTTGACTACTTAAAAACAAAATTTAAATAAATAGGAACGCTGAATCTGGAATCCCTGGAACTGAACCGAGTGAGCATTCTTTTATCTGCAAGGGTATATAAGCTTCGGCTGGCCGAAGGTAGCTTCCTTTCTTGTTTTATTTAAATTGTGTTATTTGAATTACTAAAATTATTAATATTATTATTTTTAGTTTTTTTTTAAATAACTGTTTTTTAATATTTAGCAAAGCCTTTCTTAGGCACTTGTCTGCGTCTTCGGAATGAAGGGTCAATGCTCCTGAGCATATTAAAAAACAAGAAACTAAAGCTAGCTTCGGCCAGCCGAAGCTTTATTACCTACCTTTGCACATAATTCCTATTAATCACAAATTTTCCGATCATTCCTATGGCAGCTATATGATATAGTAGTTCGATATTGATAAAATTAAAATCGAAATTCGAAAACATTTAAAAAAAAGTCATAACCCAGAGTAGAAGAGAATACGATAAAAACCAACAAAGCAATAATTTATTTCCTATTATATTCCCATTAATTTTCCGATCGTTCCTATGGCAGCTATATGATATAGTCGTCCGATTTGGAAAAAAAATGTATTCGAAGTTCAGAATTAGATAAAAAATGGCATTTAGGAGGTTATGGGTTCAAAAACAACCAATATATAATTTTTTTAAAATTTTGTTCCCTATTATTCCTATGGGAGCTATATGATATAGTTGTCCGATCCGGCTCGTTCCGACTTATATACTACCTGCAAAAGATATAAGACTTTTTAAAAAAGTTTAGATACCTTTAAAACTGAGAGACTAGTTTGCGTAGAAACAGACTGACAGACGGACGGACAGACGGACATGGCTAGATCGACTTGCCCAGACATGCCGATCAAGAATATATATACTTTATAGGGTCGGAAACGTCTCCTTCACTGCGTTGCAAACTTCTGACTGAAATCATAATACCCTCTGCAAGGGTATAAAAAAGAAACGATCCTTATATTTTAATCCTCTATCGAAAAAAAAAGTTTCGATTGATTCTGAGATTTGAGCCAAATTGGCCTGTCACGTTTCACGTGGAATAAGCCAAATGTTAATACTTTTTTATACCCTTGCAGAGGGTATTATGATTTCAGTCAGAAGTTTGCAACGCAGTGAAGGAGACGTTTCCAACCCCATAAAGTATATATATTCTTGATCAGCATCACTAGACGAGTCGATCTAGCCATGTCCGTCTGTCCGTCTGTCCGTCTGTCCGTCCGTCTGTCCGTCTGTCCGTCCGTCTGTCCGTCTGTCCGCCTGTCTGTTTCTACGCAAACTAGTCTCTCAGTTTTTGAGCTATAGGGATGAAACTTTCCCAAAAGTCTTCTTTCTATTGCAGGGAGTATATATGTCGGAGCCAACCGGATCGGACAACTATATCTTATAGCTCCCATAGGAAGGATCGGAAAAGAAAACGTTAAAAAAATTCTAGCTTCGGTGTTTTTTGAAATATTACCTTCTACTTTTGGGGATGTTATTTTTTAAATATTTCTAAATTTCGAATTAAATATTTAAAAAATCGGACTACTATATCATATAGCTGCCATAGGAACGATCGGTAAATTAATGGAATAGTAATAGGAAATAAATGCTAGCTTCTTTGGTTTTTATTGTATTATCTTCTACTCTAGGATATGACTCTTTTTAAATATTTCCGAATTTCAATTTTAATTTAATCAAAATCGGACGACTATATCATATAGCTGCCATAGGAACGATCGGAAAATTAATGGAAAAGTAATAGGAAATAAATTCTAGCTTCTTTGGTTTTTATTGTATTATCTTCTACTCTAGGATATGACTCTTTTTAAATATTTCCGAATTTCAATTTTAATTTGATCAAAATCGGACGACTATATCATATAGCTGCCATAGGAACGATCGGAAAATTAATGAGAAATATTAGAAAATTGAACATTTTTGCGATTTGTTAATTAATAGGATTGATCTGCAAGGGTACACTCATAAAAATTAATTTCTAAATTTTGGAAATCTCGCCATTGAAACGGCCTACCTTTGAAAATAGAAAAAAAATTTCTTGTTATTAGAAAATTGTCCTTTGAATACAGAAAACCTTTCTTGATGGAAAAAATTCAAGAAAGAATTTTTCTTAAAAATAGAAAAATAAAAATCTCATATGTTTGTTTTGCCGTCGCAGCCAAAACATTTTTGTACGTATTTAAGGACAAAATCACCTTTGAATATATGAATGAAATGACCCTAGAATATAGGAAAGTAGCCATTGACTTCCTTCGGCTGCCGAATGTTAACGACAAGAAAAACGAAGTGGGACGAAGGGCCTACTCGGCCCGACTACTACCCGGCTACCGACTTCTCTGATCCGCCGAGCGTCAGTTGTGAAAAAAATTCGTGAGTGATGGACGTGATTTTCAAGCGGATAAGAGGTGAAGCCTTTTTCCGAATATTCAAAGGTATGTAAATATGTATATAATTTTTTGTATAGCGGGCGTACAATTGTATGTATGTAATTAAAGGATACATTTCAAATCTCTTTACCAAGCGTATACCAACTTAGGTGAATTGTTTTTTAGCTAAGAGCTACGTACATACATACATTTGTACATAAATTTGTGGGTGTACAGTTCTATAATAACTTTATCTTATTACTCGCATTTTATTTATTTTTCAGAGTGAAAATACCTGCAGTTGCATCAGCCAAATAATTTGTTTGTCGAAGCTGTAATTTTGTTTTAAAACCTTCTAAGGTAAGAAAAATATGTTGTATTTGTTTGACATACTTATGTATGCATGTAAATATCTATGCATGTACGCGGCTCACCCGATCTGAAACCCGATTTTCAACCCTTTCATACTCTGCTCCTCTCTCTCGCTCGCTTGACCTACGCGTCGCGACGTTTCTCTCTTCACCTTCTTAAAACTGACACGATCTGCCCTGCTTACATTCGGTCTCCCTTCGCGCAAAGGACTGTATGTAAATATATATGTATGTATGTACGTGTTTCTCCCGTGCCTCTCTCTCTCTCTGAAATTCGATTTTCAACCCTTCATTTTCTACCTGTCTTGCTCCGCTCTCTCGGTCGTCTGTCCAACGTGTTTGTATTTTGGCTATTATTAACATTACATTATTTCAAAAAAGTTGTTTATCTAAAAACAAATCATTGATATCCCAATAAC